AGGAGCAAGGACGCTACTAGGGGCTCCTGGCATCGCTACTAGGAGCATTCTTACTGCTAGGGTTTGGTTCAGAACCGGTTGGGCTGTTTGGAGCGTCCGTGTGGTCGGAGGCACTTTTGCGCTCGGTGTTTGTTGCGTCGGTGTCTAGACGAGAGTGTTGAGCGCGGTTCTGTGCTCGTGCACTCGAGGGTGCAGCGGTTTAAGCAGCAGAGAAAAAAGAGAGAACAGGGTAATGGAATCTGTTGGCAAACATCGTGGAAAGCAAAGCAACACACACACACAACATACCAACCGTGTCCTTCTTTGCAAAGAAGGTAGAGCAGCCTTGCCCGCGTAAAGCACTCTGGCACATTCTTAAGCATGACCTTAGGTATTTCAGAGAAGCAGCGTGCATTGGATATCTGAGTCTCAACAAACACGATTCATTTACATCGATTCTTATGAACATCAAGCTGACTTGCCGACCGTGCCCTCCGTTGGCAAAAGGAAACTCATTGGCATGGCCCAGTGGAGCAAGAGTTGAATTTTTGTCTAGGGAACCACCCAACCAATGGGTGGTTCCTGGTCTCTTTCCCTTAGAATAGTCGAACCGGGGGTCGGTCTCCCTTCTGTGTGCTACAACCTCTGTGTTCGCTCTGGATCCACGTGACAGTCCCCACATTGGATGCCCTGCGACCAAAATGGCAGTGCCAAGCAACTGTTGTATGCACCATCAGTGCGCTTGGTGGGGAACTCCTGATCAAGGTCTGAGGTCTTTTGGATTCTTTTGGATTCTCTTTGGAAAACGAAAACCGAGCTTTTTAGACTTGTCTGTCCGACAAATTATGCATGTCTATCCTTCATGTTGGTTAGTAGATGTTATATAGTAGTATCTCTGGGGGAAAGTGATCTTTTACAAAGCGGTTACTCATAGCTCGGCTTGCTAAGATCTTTGAGAGAAACACATCCAACATGCAGCCCATCATACATATCCTTAATATTCCTTAATATCTTCCAATCCTTCCACTCCGCATAGGAAATGACCCAATAAATGATCATACATCCTTATATACCTACCTTGGACCCCGAACAAATGCCATGCGGAGACAAGTGCTCGGAATCCACTCCTCATGGCTGACCAAGCTGTGACCGGACTGCTGTTGCACCACGATGAGGATGCATCATCGAAACGAACATCCATGTTCTTCTCCAGAAAGGATGACGCAGTGCCCGCAGTGCCTTGGACTTCGAACCCAAACAAACAACACAAACACCCAGAGTCCACAAGCCGTCGGCCCCAAGCCGCTTGTGGTTTAATTTCTGCGCCAGTCTGACTCAACTGTTGTCAACGACCAGTCAAAAGATGTCAAAAGCCTATGAGGATTCCCCTCCATCTGATTCAAGCACATTTTGCCCAAGTGCATTCTCATATGTAGGGGTTTGTCGAACCCTAAAACAGGCCCAGATGGGCCCAGCTCCTGCCCAAAAATTCCAACTTTCAAAAGTGGCAGGACCACATTTCAGCAATCCCAATCTGTCAGAAACTGCTCAAAAACTCGGCGAACATCTCAGTTGCTTTCATCGGAAGTCCGTCTGACATTGAGAATGCATTTGTTGCCGCCCCCCATCGCTGTGGCAAAAAACACAGCCGAAAAAAACTGCAGGTTGCAGTTGGCGCCAACAAACAGAATACTGTTTTTCTCTTTTGCATGATTACAATCACGTATTTGCATGTACATATATATATATATATTATATAATGTTATGTATTATATCTATACTTGCATCTATTTGCATCATATGTATATATATATATGTTTGATCGCGGGGTCAGCCCACCTCTCAGATCTTGAACCAAATGCTGCACAGATCTGGACTTCCTGTCGGCTCCGCCACGCCACCGTTCTGTTTCCTCCGGTTTCAGTCCCTTTTCGGCTGGCTCGGGGCGACTGAAGCTTAGCCAGGCAATTCCTCAAGTTCGGCGCACCGGACTCATTGGACCTTCTTTTTGTCTCACCTGACTCCGAGATGGGATCGTCCTCATGTGGGAACATCTGGGCGATGGATGGGAAAGGCTCCCCCCACTCTTTTCACAAAAAACCCTCTTTCAGGATGTGAACCCTCACATGGTGCAACGTGCAACGTCTCCGCAGTTCGTTTTCCAGGAATCACGTGTCGGCTTACCGGTGCACACTTCAATTGGGCGGCATACCGGAAAAACGAAGCAGGATCGATGTAGGAGGGACACTAGTGATGCGGCTGCGGGTCAAAACCTGGACTCCTAATTGCTGGAAGGTTGACCTCCTAGGTCGTCTATCTGTTCATGTTCAGTGGTCAACCCGGGTCCCCCGTTTTTGACCCACAGCCATACTAGTGGCGACAACCAGCCTTTTCAAGGCATGCCGCGGATTTGGCAGGGATGCGGCGGATCTCAAGCCATGTGGCGCTGCTTGGACCACGAGGAACGCAAAAAAAGAAGTCACCTTCCAGGCACGCGAAACAACCGTTTTTCGTGGTGTTTTTCGTTCAAATCGACCTGAACGACCTCAGCAGCGTTTTTTGAGAAGCTTTGTGTAAGACCTCTATGTTTGGGAGGAACAACTTGCGCAAACAGCAATAGCATGTAATAGCCTTGGCTCGGGGGTATCTTTTGCATGTGAGTCGGGATTGTCGGGATCTAGCTCCGACTCTTAGTGAGACAAATCCTCAAAGCAATGAAATGTTAGCTGCCATGTCTTTTAACATCCATCGCAAAGCGAAAAAGGCGCCATTAGGCACCCAAACAGGTTCCGGAAAACCACACGAGGATGGCCGACTGGACCTCCAAGAAGAAACCATGTGGACTGGTCTTTCAATGTCGGAACTTATCAGAATACCTGCTGAGAGCGGAATCAACTCTCCTGCAGACTAATGACCGCAGGCTTCCGACTGTGTCTGAGCGGATCTGCATGGCATTGGAGAAAAGGAAGGCACCTCGAAGGCCATGTTTATGCCCCGAGGTTCCATTGGTTGACGAAAAAACACCATCATCGCTTCTCATCGCTTGTGCGACTCGATTTGTGTTTACTTTTGCTCCCTACAAAGCCATGTCCAAAGACGACACATCAAAACAAATTTATTCAACATTATGTCAAAAATGCTTCTACAACAATAACTTCAGGTCAATAAGCATGGCAAGATGACTCGAGCCCTTGATGGCAGCAATTTCGGCTCTGAGTGACTTAGTCGGTGCTCCAAGTTTGGTCCGCAACGTGTGCAGGAATGAAGGAACTGAATGAAACTCACGCAAGAATAAATGTAGAAAAACGAAACAGAAAGAAACAACACAAAACAGAAAGAAACACTTGCATTGCACGCCAAGATTTTGAGGCGAAGTTGCTGGCTGTCTCTGTGCAACAAAAATCCGGCGCCATAATGAATTTTGTAGTTTTTGTATTGAAATGCAAAGGGTTAGGAGGGCACGGATTTCTGATGGCAACCCACCTGTGCTGGGCTGAAGGAAACCTTTCAGAGCACTGAAGAATATCCACACCACATAGACGGCAAAAATCATCATTACATTGTTGAGAAGTCCTTCATGTGGCAGGGCATGCGCACTAGTCGCAGTCGCTGGAAGTTACAGCATGGACAACCAAGTGCCCCAAACTGCTCTCCGAAGTAGAACATCTTTCGAACAAAAGGAGTCGCTCAGCATGCTCCAGGTCAACTTCCGCAAAGGGCCTGCCATGAAGCACTGTTCAACAAACACAACAGTATAAAGAATGGTTGTCGTGCTGTTCAACAACCGATCGACCAAAAGAGAAGCTGAATGATCGGTCAATCACATTTCCTGCCATGATCCCGCTTCCAAAGGGTAAAAAGACACGACAAAAACACGAACCCAAGTATACCAAAGTTAAACCATCAAAATGCAGAGTGTTCGTTCGTTGTTCATCTTTTCATGCTTGGTAAAGACAAATATCAACCGCGAAGCAACACCCGAAGGATCCAAGCCAGGACCCGTGGACCGGCTCCCAGCGCCCACCGAGTCGCTCGCCTCCACCACACGATCCATGCGTCCAGCATACTTGGCCAACAACGCGCGGTTGCGCGCCTGCGCAGTGGAACCCCCGCGCACGAACGGCACAAGTGGAACACCCGCGCACCGTCTGGAAAGGCCACCCGGAGTGGTGTGTCCGACTTGGCGGCGAGTTCGAAGCCACACAAGACAACGCCCAGAAATGGTGAGAGGCCACACCTCCCAAGTTCCACAGGACCGGACCTTCCGTCGAGTTCTGCATTCGATTCCGAGTTGCGCAGCTGCAGCTTGAAATCCAACAGCTGGGCAGCCAGCTTATGCCAAAAAGCACTTGCAAAGGGCACAGGACGAACGTTGCCAACCTCCCCCTCTACGATGTTTGCAAATAATCTATTGCTTTCCAGCAAATTGCATCCAGCAAATCGACGAAGGTGTCACCTTCCTCACCTTGGGCAGGTATTGATCTATTCCGGAAGATCTGCTCGGGCAGGGACCATGGCGCATAGGCTCCTTGGGACTGGATACTGTATGCCACCCCACAACGACCCCCACAACGACCCCACCACCCCTGGCCTGAGCCCTATGGGACTGCCATGGAGCGTGGTATGGAACATGGACTTGTTACGTTCACTCGTGTATGATGCAGTCCAAGTCCACATGATCACTGTGTACCGTCCGATCTCGTGCACCCAGGTGTGGGAAACGACGACGAGTGGTCCGACAGGATCTCATCCATTCCAGACTTCCACATGTGTCACATCATACACCTGGAATCTGAGAGTGAAGAACCATGCTTTCTGATCCAACATGTATTCATTTTCCACCTTGGACATTTGCGGATGTAATACAGTGCAACAAAGGTACAGAAGTCGCTTACTAATCCCTGGGGATCCGAGTATACCTTCTCAGAAGGCACCTGGACCCTCCTGGCACCCACCCCAGTCCCACCTTCACAGAAGGTACGACTGGAGGTGCAGGGTTATCAATATATCAGCTCCGCATCGACCCAGCTCCCAACCACCGCAGACGCGAAGCCACGCCAGAAATCACCAGTTCATCTCAGAAATCCCGCAGCCCCTCCTCGTCTGCGAAACCCATGGAGAGCAGCTCCCGCAGCTTCTCCTTCGTCCGCCCCGCTGTGGCGGAGAGCGGAGCGGACGGAAGGATCGATCCAGGACCGGAAGGATCCATAAGGCGGCGTTTGGGGGAGAAGGCACCCCGAAACGCTGACCCGTTTCCATCCCGGTTTGGTGCATTGATGTATAGGGATCTAGAATCATAATGAGAAGCACAGTAATGAACCCAAAGACGGAACGAACAGCAAAACAAGGACAGTGGCACACGAAAAGCATCTCTTTCGTATGCTCCTGATTGTTTTTTTCATGGGATAAGCTACAATGAATTCGGATGCGGACGATGCAGGCAGGGGGTCTCTAACCTGGAAATGGGTGAGGCACTCTGTCCCTGCACTGTAGCATGTATACCATTGGTTGGAATTCACCAGGATCATTCGATGGGTGTCCGGTCCAGGTCGGCAGCGCGGGCGGACACCCATGAGATGAACACACACGACGGTGAAATGGAACTCCTAAGGTCCTGCTCCAGACTGCTTGGTCGGTGGAGTCCACGCCGATATGTTATATACACCGAGCTTTGTTTTTCGGTGTCCGCTTGTACGGTTATCGATGGGGTACCATTGCAATTGACTCCCTGACTTGTCGGATCGCCAGCTTGGAACTGATGAAGCAACGGAAGAACTTTTCCAACTTCAAACTGGGCCTCAGTGAGACTTCATTCCCTTAGTACCACAATCTGCCAAGACATGCCAAGATGATTCTGAGGCAAGTCTTGAAAGAAAGCTGAGTATAATTGCTATAGGTTGCACATCTCTAATTTCCCTTAGAAAACAACTCTATCGGTTCATGCTTTCACAGCTAGCTGACCCCTATCGCCGTCTGGTTGGATTTCAGCGCCTTCGTCTGTGCCTCGCATGAGGTCTGAATCGACCCACCTACCCAAACGCTCTTGGACCCGAACCTACGCAGGGGTCGCACCTGAATCCGGACTGGAGGGGTCTGGACGTAACCTCACCAATCCCTATTATTGGTTCGGGACCAGGACCAGTCGGGCGTCGTTTTCACGGAGCGTCTGACAGGTTCGAACGCCATGAGAGGCTGAGAGCTGTGTGAAGATCTGGGTGAAAACATGCCAGCAAAAGGCGTCCCGAGCAGAGTGAAGCTGTAACCCTAGGCCTCCAGTGGTACCGAACCTGAGAAGGTGGGCTACGCCCTTGGGTGCCAGGAGGGTCCCGAGCCCTTTTTTTGGATGAACATCTACTTTTCACATGCTGGACTCGCCTTGGCATGCCTTGGCCCGATTTTTCAGCGCGTGCTTTGCAGTGATTCCAAAGAAGGTGATCAGGTTGACATGTTGGGAGACGGGTCAGTTGCATGACTACTTATAGAAGCACGAGGCAGTCGCAAAAAGCAAACTAGAGAGCAATTTGTCCGGTTGTTTTCCAGACCACAATTAGGACTTGTGCGTGCTCTTACCGACACCGGTCCTGGTTTCCTTGGCCCAGCTACCAACTTCAGCGGAGTCCAAGAAAAAATGTCCATCATATCAAAGATCGAGTTACACCCGAGTGCTTTTCTATCTCTTTCCTGCTGGATTTGAACTACAAAGCCCAATGTGTCAAAGATCGCCTGGCAGCCAGGCCTCTAAAGCACCAGTGGCTTGCACTGGTGGTGGAGGTGGTTCAGGGACAGCCTTCCGAAGGAAAAGAACGCCGAAGGCACTGAAGGCCTTGCTTGATGCTGGTTGAATGTTGTTTCAGGAGGGCCAACTTCAACGCGAGCCCACCAAGGCTTCTGTTGCGGAGAAAAGGCATGTTCGACCTGAAGGTCTTCAGCATCATTTGACCTCCCTGTACACACTAAAGATATTTTCTGTGCTCTTCGCAGCTGTTCTGAAATCATGAATAACGTGTTCTCTAGACGGACTCTTCACTGAGGTGTTGGCAAAAAATCGTTTGACCAAAGGGGTTGCAGCCGTTGCTCTCCACCATTCTGTTCCTCGAGAACCACATCCAATTCCATCGCTGTTTCACTGGCTTGCTCTATAGACCCAGTACTCTCCTGGAGTCGTGGATTCTGACCATCCGGTGCTCATTGGCGTTTCAAATTGCCCCAAGTATTTGCTTGAGAGATGTATTTTTCCTGGTGCAGGAAGTGTCCAATCAACTAATCAACAAATCTTCCTAATGATGTGTGTTCTTTTCCTCAACCAAAAGAAAGGAAACCAAGGGCAAGCCAAGCAAAACAAACATGAGATCCCACAAACGGCCGCACAGGTTGAAGGATATAAGAAACATGTCTCGACCTCGGCGATCGGAAGGAACGAATCAACGCCTGGAGGGAGAGACCCTCTTCGGATGATTTCGGATGCACACCCAGCTTGGTGTCCACCAAATGATTTCCCCTTAGGCAATGCCCCCCAGTTGAAAAATGTCTTCCAGGGTTTCTGTTCAGTTTCCATGATGAGGAAACTCCGTTGGACACCAAGGACGTGCCCATGCGCCGCAGCCCTCCTCTGCCTCCGCCATCTCCTGGCGCACGAGCTGGATGGCCTGGCGGGCCACCGCAGTTCGCTCACAGCCCGTGCTGAACCCTACAAACATTCATGTTGGCTCTTGGGGCCAAACTTGTTTGTTCAACCCGCAGGGAACCCTTTGCCCAAAGGCAGTTGAAGGGCTCGACTGAAATCTGTCAGGGACACTGGCAGGGCCGGCGTAGTTCGGATTCTTCTCATTTTCACAAGAACTTGACGGTCCTACCATTCAGAACTTCTTTCCAACAATGCAGCTCCCTCCTGCCAACCAACATTCAGAAATAAACTAAGAATACATGAGATCTTGCCCTCAATCTGACACCCATCAATTAGACCCAAAAAACCCAACATTCGGAATGTCTTTTGGCAGTGCCCGGTCCACATCGGTCCTGTGTGGCTGCGTCATTGGGCTCGAGGCCTTTGCGGAAGTTCTTGGCAGACCAATGTGGCGGGGTGGTCAGCAGGTGAAGATGGTGAAGCGAGCTTTTCTCCACAAACATGTGGGCCATCAACTTATGCAGCCTCAACGTGGGACAACATGGCGGATATTGGACATGTAATTTGTACTGTTGAAGCCGTTCTGCTGCACGATGTTTTTTTACCGTGCTACCTGGTCTTACCGCTTTTGTTGTGCTCCAGGGTCTAACAAACCTCAACTTCCGTGGAGGGTCTGTTGCACAAGCTGTCTGGGGGGCAGTGCACGCGTGCACCGCAGAAAATGGACAAAAACCAGCGTAGTCAGTAACTTGGCTGCCCTGTCAAGCTCTCGCAAAGCAATGTCTTAAATATCTCAAATAGGCGCTGGCAGCAGTGCCTCTCACACGGTGCTTCGCCCCCAGTCCTACACACCAGTGCCTTGCCTAGTGCAACTGTGATATGGCCGCCTGCTGGTCAACCTCTGCTCCGCAACGCTGGTGAAGCTGCAGGGCTCATCAGTAAGTAACTGTGATTGGCAACCATGTAAGGCAATTTGAATAAAAAGTTGCGCTGATCCTTTCTAGCACGAGCGTTCCCATTAGGTCTCCTGTTTCAGGTTATGGCCATGTGTGGCACTGGATTCGCTTCAGGGCCGGTCTGCCACGGCATGCGGTAAGATGCTCAACAGCTAACCTTTCTGGTGCAGAACAATAGGCATCACTTGCCACCTTAACCTCTGAATCCTCTGATCCTTTGCTTGTACACAATCCTGTTTCTAGCTGTAATTGGGCGCACTTGAGCATTTGAATGTATTTCCTATGCATGATTTGAAGGTGAACGGTTTTTGTAATTGGGCGCACTTGAGCAATTGAATGTATTTCCTATGCATGATGTGAAGGTGAATGGTTTTTGTGATGATCAGAACCCTTAAGCAAGGCCCCGATATCGTGCACTCTGAAATAGCCGTTGCTGCATTTAAACAAAGCCTGGTTCGTGTTCTGGAACTTTAACAGCCAGTCGTCATTCGCAGAATATGCAGGACTTTAGCAGGCACCGGGGCTGCCATATTTGCTGATCAGTTGGGGTTGATTGGGAGGTCAATTGATTCGCATATGTGACATTCCCATTAGTCGTGTCTGGGAATATGATCCCTTTGGAGCCGCGCCTCTTGCCGGCCCAGTGAAGAGAGTCGGCGGTGGACATCTCTAGAAGGGTGAGCGATGATCCAACCGCCTCCCCTTGAGACGAGAGGTTGAGTGACATCCCAAGATGAGAGGTTGAGTGACCTGAAAAGAACCCCAAAAGACCTGAAGTACTGTCAACCAACGATTTATCAACTCATAAAGGTAAGCAAATCCCAAAACAAGATTATATATATAGTACCCCCAATAAAGCTATATCAACGTTTTTACCACTGGACCTAGATATGGCCTTTAACAAATGGTCCTTTAGCTTCGTTTATATCGTGTCAGTACGTGTCCAATTCTTGATTACAGTAACTGGTTCCTTCCTTGAATTCCTTCTTTCATCTGTCCCGTCCTTGATTTCATCAAATTGGACTCACCAAACCACAAAACAACCGGATCAAAATTCTGTATAAATTCCCTATTCACAACTCACCAACAATGGATCAAAATTCGTCTGGAAAGGGTGCCCCCCTTGAAGCCACAATGCCCTAAATAAAGTGTACCCTGAATAAAGCCAAAGATTCTTGCGGGCAAACAAATTATCCACAATATTCATTTTCCTTTGTCTCAATTCCTGCAGGTGTTCCTGCTGTGCTGGATTCCTAGTTTCAAACTCTAATTTCTACCCATGTAGTTCCCCAAAAGCAAGGCCAATATATAATACTTCAAGAACCCTAAAGTTTACGCTTCTTACTCTGTTCCAACATGACACTTGTGGTCTACAGCGGATCAAATTGACACGTCCAGTTTGCCTGGCAGGTACAGCGCGGTCAAATTTCCACACCCGTTTAAGTTTATAATACTTATAAGGCTTTCAGGTGTGGAAATCTGACCGCAACTTCGGTGTCGACATGTTGCACGTAGGATTCTACGGGGAAAGGGTTTGTCCCGTTTTAGAAGCGCAACTTTCGGCACCCCACTGTATATACGACCAACACTAAAACAGCCTTTAAGTCTATTTGAGGTCACTTCAGGGGTGATCAGGGGGGGCCGCCCCATTGATAAATTAAAGGTTGACATTACCCGACTGGGATAGTCTGTAAAACACAAAATTCTAATAACCATTGATTTTAATATGTTAATCCTTGTTAATCATCTTAAATTATCGTAAATCGGTCTTTATCATATCTTAACCAACAAACCGTATTGTTTTACTAAGGATTTTAACTTACAACACCATGGTAGACAATATGTTCATATTCACACCGCTTCGCGGTCAAAGCCGCCCGCGCAGAGTAAAGGGAAAACAAACACACACACAGAGACAAACAAAAACATCCATCCATGCATTCGCTCGGGCAGGACACACGGACGAACACACCCACGATGTCAATAGTGCAGTGTCCACCGTCTTGTGCATACGACCGCGATGTCGATACACCATTTCCACCGGCCGGCATAACCGGCATTGCCAACGTGTAGTCCAAACACATATCAATTTTTCTCAATCGTCAAAACACACTGTAAAACACAGCATTTCGTAACTCAAAAGTGATCCCCCCAAGCTAAAGCTTGAGATTTGATCTGACCGATTTCTTCCGATTGCTGTTGCCCCGAGCCTCCATAACGCCCTCGGCATTTTCGGTGCGGACGGATTCTTTCAATGGTCTTTGAAGGCTAGGGTATAGGGTTCTTCAACCTCTTTTGGTCGCTTCAGCGGAGATCACGTGCCCGCTGCTGCAAAACGTGCGTTCCGTACTTTGGGGGCGTGCAAGCACTATGCCACCATGCCTTGGTACCGGTGCGGTGGAGAAAACGGTGCGGGACGGCTGTGGCGAGACGGCCAGCCACATCCTGAGACAGCCAGCAATGAATGAGTCTCAAACCACTGGCCACCAACTCCTTGAACTTGGCGGTGACCTGCTCTTTGTCAATGGCGACTCTGGCCTAGGATCCATCGAAGGCCGATCCATGCTCTGGTGAACGAATGGATCGAAGATGCGGGAGAGCACAGCAAAGCACAGGATTCTCGGACCTTACCCTACATAGTTTTACATAGTGATCCTATGAGTTTTACATAGTTTTACCCTACGCCTCCAGTCGTACCTCCTCAGTAGGTATGACTGGACCCTCCTGGCACCCACCCCAGTCCCACCTTCTCAGAAGGTACCACTGGAGGCCTAGGGTTACAGCTTCACTCTGCTTCATGCATTTCTCTCGTCGTTCCCTCTCTCTACCTGCCCAACTGAGCTCTCCGCAGCCGCCGGCGCCGCGGGCACCGCGGGCGCCGGCACGGCCGGCACGGCCGGCGGTGGCGCCGGTGGCGCCTCAGTCCGAACTTCCCTTCCGCGGTTTCTCCCTTTTGAGATGAATCCTCCCATCCACTTTCTGAAAGAATGACATCGAAGGAGAGTTCCACTTAGAGACGTTGAGTCAAGAACCATATAAGAAAAACCAACCGCGGCTATGACGGGATTGGATTCTCGCGGTTCACAGCACCTCTGCGGACCAAAAGACAACCGTTAGCCTCGTGTCTTTTTCCCGAGCTGGTTGACAGAACAGAAATGCCAGGAAAACTCAACAAATGATCAACCAGCTATGCATGACATGCAGACCATCCCCTGAGCATCGAAGATTTATTGTAATCAATAAACTTCATAGTTTTTTGAATTGTTTTTCAGATTGAATTGAATTGATATGTTCAAAAAGTCTCAGATTGATTTGTTGATTTTTTATATTGATTTGTATATTGCTTTACATATTGATTTACAGATTGACTTTGAAGGCTCAAAACAGCTCTTTTCCAATTGATTTTGCTGATTGGTTTTGAAGATTGAAAAGTGTTTGCATCTAGCATGTAAGCACATGTCAGCCTTCTAGACCTTTTTTGGCTCAAAAGAACTGCAGTTGCCTGTAGGTTTTCTGCACCCTTGTGAAAGGGAACTCAAAGAATCTCTTGTGAAAGGGTGCCTGCCTTTGTAAAAGGGTCATGGCCAGTGGGTTGGAGTGGTGGCCCCAGACACAAGTCAAAGCCCTACATAGAAACAGGGCTTTTGATGAAGCTGCTGATGGGCCATGAGGAATTGCTGGTGAACTTCAAAGGGTATGAAACCCTGTCCAGAAACAATGGTGTGGACCCTAAAGGCTTGATCCATGCCTTGGACTTCATCAATGATGTCTTGGAGCTGGAGCCAACTGCAGAGGTGCACCCACAGCCTCTCAGGAACAGTCTGCTGGGCATGTTGACGCAAAAGCCCCAGCTAAACAACACCTTGTCAAAGTGGAAGCCTGTGGGTGCACATGAGATCTGAAAGGATCAATGTGGTACTTTTCCACATAAGAAAGCTGGCTCCACAAGCGACAGCCTCGGCGCTCCTTCGCTCCTTACTTGAGCGAATCTCCTATGCTTGGTCCTCACCAGCCACCTAAGCCAAGTTGTGAAGAACTTGTGAAAGGTGGTCAGCTTCATCGACTTGCCGCACAGCCTTGTCAGCTCATCCCGGTCATAGCTCCCTTGCGTGGAATCCCACCACTCGTGGCAAGGATGTCTCCAATGCTTCCAAAAACACCGCTACAAAAATAGACCTCTGTAAAAAGAGACTCCCTCAATCAAAACCGGTCCCCGAACCAAAACGGGCGCACCGCTCCTCATCTCTCGTTGCGGGCCACAGATGCTCCACGTCGCGAAGGATCATCGCCCTCCACCTTTGATGTAACTTTGGGTTCAGGGACTGGGTCTGGGTCAGGGCCACGATTAGTTGAAGCTAGCCTTTTCCCTTTCAACCATGAATCACAACAATCAAAGACCTGCTGCCAACTCGGTGCACTCACTGCGAAGCAAATCAACACAGCCGAGGTGCAATCCCTTGAGGAAGCGAAGACGCGTGAGCTCTTGCAGCAGCTGCTTCCCTTTGGATGTCCTGGGCTCGATCTTGGTACTGTGGATTCATGCGCAAAGGTTGAACGGCCTTCTAGCACGTTGTAATATACTCAAGAGTTCGACAAGGGACGATGGACCGACCGATAAAATTGAAACAGCCAAAATTTGGAAAACATGCGTCTCAGAAGGCCTGCCAATCTGTGACCGCCCTCACCGCAAAGAGTGCCACCCAGAAGCAAAATCCGCTGGACTCTTGCCGCCGTCAGCGTGCGGCGGAAGCTGGAAAGAAAGCAGAAAGCAGTTGATCGGCCCTCAGCGTTGGACCGTTCGTCTAAGTGTTCTACACCACCATCAGCATCCTACTGCTAATGAGCTTTCATGTGTGGGCAGAACAAGCGTGGTAGAAAAGATCGCCTTCCTGGACATAATCAGTAAGCCTTGAAGCTTCTACATCAAGCAGGCTTGCGTGAAGTGAGAGAACCCATTTTGGAAGGCGGCCTTGGGGTATTGCTTTTGGAGCTTGAACCGTCACTTGATTGAGGTCACCTCCAAATGTCTATTTTGCGTTTGTAGCTTCGGCCTTTAATACCCCTGATCGACGTGGCAATGAGTGCAGCCAAAGCCTCATGCCAGGGATAAGACCGTTCTCCAATGCCTTGCTTCCCCGGTCGGCAGGCGAGAAGGAGCTCCTTGCGTCGGACGAAAGAATCGTTGTCACGCCAGGCTTCTCACCTCCACCCTAGCGGCCCTAGGCCCTAGCAAATAAGGACATCCAACGAACGCTTGGGCAAAAATGTGAACGATGAAGCGCTCCCAAAGTCTAAGCGCTGCACAGCATCCTGCAAGACACGGTGGTCTGCAGCACCCCAGGCGTCACTGCTGAATGCGCAGCCGAATACCTTAGCCGCAGCCGCACCCGCAGGGAATCTGCGGGAGAGGGAGTGAGCACTCTGGAGGCAGAGAATGGATCTAGAAGCTGTGGGAGATCAAGAAGGTCAGGAACCGGTGCTACCTGTGCTATGGAAGGCGTTGAGCCTGAATGAGCTGGAAAGGGAATTCAGTGGTGGCTGAAGGTATAAGCGGTGGAAGGTCATCCGGACCCAGTCACTGTATTACATACGGGTGTCAGGTGTCAGGCAATGTTGAATATGGATGTGAAGAACCTTGCAATTACATACAAGTGTCAGGCGTCAACCATGTTGAATATGGATGCAAAGGAGCCTGCGTCTAAATGCAAACAGGTCACGCGCTTCCACTGCGAGATGAACCGCAGAGGCATGTAGCCATCGTTGACCATTCCCCTGAGCACGCGCAAGAGGAAGAAGCGGTCCCTGTCGTCGCCGCCTTCGAGCCTGGTGATCTGGGCATAGATGTGGAGAGTCGCGCGGTCCAGCGACGGTGAAGGCGTACCGTGAAGGCACCTCACCGCATCTGCATCTGCATTCGAGAGAGCGAACGGAAAGACATTGAGATTGGATATCATTGATTTGGTAAAAAGTTTTGGATCAGATGCTGTAAATAATTGCACATGCCAAGGTACTGGTCCCACAGCTTGAGGACGGGCACATCCCTCTCGCCACGCTTGACAGGCTCCAGCAGAGGGTCTTCAAGATCGCCGAACAGCCGCTGCAGCGTCAGGAACATAGCCTGCATTATCTGCAGCTAAGGTGCAAGGAAGCTACTAGGGGCTCCTGGCCTTACTACTAGGAGCAAGAAGCTACCAGGAACAAAGGGCATCGCCTCTACCCACCTCTATTCTGGAGTCTGTCTTTTGCGGGGACACCGTCCACGCCAACGATGAAAGGGAAACGCCTTGGCCAAGGAATTGGTTGAAAAGAACGTCATAGTTTCGATCGGGCCATCTTGACTATGATGAGCCAAGAATCGGCGCAAAGCCCTCGCACGCATTGCCGCGCGTCCTTCGAGAACAGCCGAGCGCAAGTCGAGCACGTGCGTGGCTGCCACGCCCACCGGCCGCTCTGAACCAGCCCAGCAGCATCAAGAACATTCCACCTTGGGACAGCAAGCCGCTGAGGCTCTGAGTCTAGGAAAGCGCCTAGGCGAGGAGGTTGGAAAGGAGTTAGAGAGATTGGAGGTGAGGAGGAGCGTAGGAAGGGAGAGAAGCCCAGAGCGGAGCCTCAGAGAGGAGCTTGAGAAAGAGGGAGTGGGGAGGAGACCAAAACGGAGCCTGTGAACTGTGAAAAGGCAAGAGTGAAGGAGAGGAGCCTGGAAGGGGAGCGTGCGACAGGAGCTTGTGGAGGGAGGAAGGAGAAAAGAAGGCCTGTATCGGAGGCAAAACAAGACACCCGCCAGCCATCTCTCTTCTCTTGTCCAAATGTGTCCAACAATAAATTCTATCTCAATAAAACGTCAAGGAGCTGCTCGTCCGTGATCTTGTGGCTGCTTCCGCCACAAGCTCTACGGCACAGGGCGCAAAGCCGCACCATGGCCAGGAGCTCGTAGTAGTGTCCTTGCGCCTATAGTAGTAAGGCCCTGAGCCCCTACTCTATTTGTTCATGCCCAGTTCCGACATGTTTTGCAAGTGATGGCTAAGTTTCTTTTTTGTGGATACCGTCGCGGTGAAATCGCATCGGATGGAAGCGCGTAGGAGTTGGATCGCTTCTGATCGTGTCCCACGCGGCGCGTTCAGTTCAGGGAGAGTGGCTGAAGCACACACGAAAGAGAAGGAAAACCACAAACACCAAGCACAGCTCCATCACAACACAGTCAGCAGGCACAGCTGCACAACAATTCTAACAATAGAATGAACATGAACGCAGCCGCATTCCATCCTTCCTTCGAGTGGCCGTTGAGTTTGAAGTGGACAAGACTGCAATGAGGCCATCACACAACTTGACTCCCTGGATCTGCATGTGCTTGTTATGAGTTTAGTAGAGGGATCAACCGCTAAAAATCCAAACCCTAAAAGTGATTTTCTAAAAACCGTAAATGTATCTTTTAAGGAACCCTGAGGAAGGGCCACCTTTGCAAAAGGGTGATGTGGAGATGGAGAAGGAAGCACCTTTGGAAAAGGGTATGGATGACAAGGTGGGTGAAGTGGAAATGAAGGAGGAAGAACCTGTGGAGAAGGAGGGAGCACAGCCTGATGTGGAAATGAAGGAGAAGTCGAAGGTGATTTGATGAAAGGCACACCTGGCGCACTTTGGAAAAGGGTTATTTGGGCATGCACCAGCCCATGTCTCTCTTCCCCAAGCCAGGTGAAGGCCTTTTCATCAGGCAGGAGGTGGAAAGGAAGAAGATCATATGGTGGACTACCACAACACCCTGGCCATCAATGACCACATCAGCCAGGAAAGTTCTGATGCCTTGGAGTCACTCTTGGAAAAGGGTCATGAAGTGATCATTTGCACCTGGTGTGGTGGGAGGGACAGGGTTGCCAGGGTGAGGCACCACCTTGAGCAGATGCCTTGGTGGGGGAAGGTGGGCTTCATGGCAACCCACATCAGGAAAGGTGCTGGTTCCAAGGCAAGCCTGTGTATCACACATGGCTGCACCATCATGTTTGATGATGCTGGGGACATCTTGCAGGAGGCTGTCAGCAAGGGCATCCAGGTGTACCCCATCAGGAAAGCCATGCGCTGGCACTGGTGGGCTGACAAGGCTGGGATTCCACAATGCAAGACATTTGTGGATGCTGTGGCTTGCTTCCACAAGAATCAGGAAGCACACCTTTGAGAAAGGGTACAGCACAGCCCACCCTGGGGAAAGGGTGCCTTGAGACATCCCTGAGCCTTGACCTTTGAGAAAGGGTGCAGCCCACCCTTGGGAAAGGGCCTTGGAAAACCATCACCTAACCTTTGGGAAAGGGTGTGGAAAACAACAAAACCTTTGAGAAAGTGTTTGGTGGGGGAAGGTGGGCTTCATGGCAACCCACATCAGGAAAGGTGCTGGTTCCAAGGCAAGCCTGTGCAACTCACATGGCTGCTCCATCATGTTTGATGATGCTGCAAACATCTTGCAGGAGGCTGCCAGCAAGGGCATTCAGGTCTACCCCATCAGGAAGGCCAGGCACTGGCACTGGTGGGCTGACAAGGCTGGGATTCCACAATTCAAGACATTTGTGGATGCTGTGGCTTGCTTCCACAAGAATCAGGAAGCACACCTTTGAGAAAGGGTACAGCACAGCCCACCCTTGGGAAAGGGTGCCTTGAGAAATCCCTGAGCCTTGACCTTTGAGAAAGGGTGCAGCCCACCCTCGGGAAAGGGCCTTGGAAAACCAGCACCTAACCTTTGAGAAAGGTTATGGAAAACAACCAAACCTTTGAGAGAGGGTGTAACCTTTGAGAAAAGGTGTGCAGTAATTCAACTCTTTGGAACCTTTGAGAAAGGGTTTGCATGCATTTGGCCACAAGGTGCTGGAGAACTTCAGCATTGGAAAAACAGAGCCTGGTGCATTTGATGTTTACACTGTTTTTGGTCCAAAATTGTGTGTATACATTGATTTGTATATTGATTTCTGTATTGATTTTGATCTCCAAAAACATTGTTTTTTATATTGAAAAATAATCAATATTTTCAATCTGTGAGAATTGATTTTGAAGACTCTTAAAATCAATATGTTCAATTCATTGATTAGAATAAATCTTCGATGCTCAGGGTCTGACCTCTTGAGCACCCTTCATCCGGGCCACTGAACCGGCTAAGACCCAAAACCCGGGTCCACGGTGCCCGGGGCTCGGACGATTTCAGCCTCGGCCGCCTCGAGCGGAGGACCGGCCACGCGGACGCGTTCCGCCGCCGGGCGACTGCGAGGAAGACTAACGATCGTTCCGCCGGTCCTTCAACCAAAAGACACCAAAACCATCGAGCGGGTTCCAGCCGCCGGTTCGGTGGCTGTGTGGGATCCAAAGTCAAGTCTGCCAAGCCGAAAGCGACACCGCTGCCGCTGGAGCCCGACTGTCTCGCTTCGTTTCCACTCGGTCGGGACCGCCTCGCCTCGCTGAGGGCATTGGCCACTCGGAGCAAGCGTCCGTTGTACCTGCGGCAGGCGGCAGATCGTCCGTGGTTCCCAAGTGGACCGTCCGTTGCGCTGAGCGTTCCGTGACCCGTGAATGTCCGTATCGAACGAGAAGAATCTAGGGGGTCAGTCGGTGCCAGGTAAAATAATGAACCGAACTTGGTTGTACACGGCTGAGGGTATAGGCCTCTATAATCAACCAACCAATATGCAATCGTAAAAGGCCATCTATGAAGCAGCTCCTTTAGATTTTGTTGTGCACAAACACTTCTGAGATCTTCTGAGTCTAGGCTCACGTCTACCGAGCACGTCTCTCCACACATCCTGAACTCGCAGCGCATCTCCTTCCTCAACACCTCTCTCTGGTTCGCGCCACAAGAGACTCAACTCCATCACTGCCACCCCCTTTGATCCATTCAAACTTCGAAAGCAAACAGCATCACTGCAGCTCAGCATAGCTCAGCATAGCTCAGCCGATCAAACACTGCACACCTCTGAAGGAGATCTACAGCTTGGATCCAGTCTTCGAAGCCTCGGCTGCGCGAGAATTTCTTCCTCAACTGGATCGTCTGAGTCTTGAAATGTCTCAAGGGCGTGCACTTTTAAAAGGTGACCTTAATTTTGAAAACTAGACGACGAGTGGCCCGAAAGCATTTTTCATCATGTAGGAAGTCAGAGTGCGAGTTATCTGTTAAGTGTGCAGTGTGAAGTGTTAAGTCGAGTGAGTTGAGGTAGTGTGTGGGTCTCTGTGCGTGTATCTATGTCCGTGCGTCTATGAGTCTCTATCTGTGCGTGTGTCCGAGTAAGTTGAGGCAGTGCGTGGGTCTCTGTGTGTGATGTGTGTGTCTGAGTCCCTGTCTGTGTGTGTGTATGTCCATGTCTGCTGCTGGTGAAGGTCTTCACTGTACCTATAGTGAACGAATTAGCGCGCAGGCCTCCCAAACCCCCCACCGGCGGCCAAGCGGTGACAGCCCAGCTCATCGTCGTGAGCATTTGAGCTGCTGGTAACGCGAGAAGCAGCGTGCACGCCTCCAGGAAATCTCACAAGTTCTTGACCTCTCGCAAGTCACCTCCGCCTACTGCAGTTCTACTACCACGTCGCCAGTTCTCATCTTCCAGCTCCCCAGATACTCCGCGTACTCAAGGTGTACTACCAAGCCAGCTCTCATCTTCTAGCTCCCCACATACTCCGCCTACTACAGTTGTACTACAAAGTCGCCACTCATCTTCTAGCTCCCCAGATACTCCGCGTACTACAGTTGCACTACCAAGTCACCAGTTCTCATCTTCCAGCTCCCCTGCTACTCCGCGTACTAAAGCTGTACTACAAAGTCGCCAGTTCTCAGCTTCCAGCTCCACAGCTACTCCGCGTACTAAAGTTGTACTACAAAGTCGCCACTTCTCAGCTTCCAGTTCCACAGATTGCTCCGCGTACTAAAGTTGTACTACAAAGTCGCCAGTTCTCAGCTTCCAGCTCCCCAGCTACTCCGCGTACTACAATTGTACTACAAAGTCGCCAGTTCTCATCTTCCAGCTCCACAGCTACTCCGCGTACTAAAGTTGTACTGCAAAGTCACCAGTTCTCATCCTCCACCTCGCCAGATACTCCGCGTACTAAAGTTGGACTACAAAGTCGCCAGTTCTCAGCTTCCAGCTCCCCAGCTACTCCGCGTACTAAAGTTGTACTACAAAGTCGCCAGTTCTCATCTTCCAGCTCCACAGATTGCTCCGCGTACTAAAGTTGTACTACAAAGTCACCAGTTCTCATCTTCCACCTCGCCAGATACTCCGCGTACTAAAGTTGTACTACCAAGTCACCAGTTCTCATCTTCCAGCTCCCCAGCTACTCCGCGTACTAAAGTTTTACTACAAAGTCACCAGTTCTCAGCTTCCAGCTCCACAGCTACTCCGCGTACTCAAGTTGTACTACAAAGTCGCCACTTCTCAGCTTCCAGCTCCACAGATTGCTCCGCGTACTAAAGTTGTACTACAAAGTCGCCAGTCTCAGCTTCCAGCTGCCCAGCTACTCCGCGTACTACAATTGTACTACAAAGTCGCCAGTTCTCATCTTCCAGCTCCCCAACTAGTCCGCGTACTAAAGTTGTACTACAAAGTCACCAGTTCTCATGATCCACCTCGCCAGATACTCCGCGTACTAAAGTTGTTCTACAAAGTCGCCAGTTCCCATCTTCCCACTCCCTAGCTACTCCGCGCACTAACGTTGTACTACCAAGTCGCCAGTTCTCATCTTCCAGCTCCCCGGCTACTCCGCGTACTAAAGTTGTACTACGAAGTCGCCAGTTTTCTCAGCTTCCAGCTCCACAGATTGCTCCGCGTACTAAAGTTGTACTAGAAAGGCACAATCTCCGCAAAGGGTTGCGCGCGCACACAGACTCACTCGCACTCTCGCCTGCATTTCGCGCACTCGACACGCACGATCTCCGC